GTCTCTAGAGAACCCAGTCTAGCACAGTCCCCACTGACTGTTTCACACCCAGTAAGAAAAGTCTAATTCATAATTGTAGATCACCGGGAGTGGCGGCCCGTGCTGACCACGTGGTATGATGGTTGCAGACAAAACTCTAACCCAACGATTATGGAGAAATTCCTCAGATTACGTTCAGAGTTTTACCGGGTACTGAGGAAATAAATGGCAGTGTGGGAAGCCACAACTGACTTCCTCCGGGAAGGGAAAAGGGGGAAGGAGAATCCAACTCCACACGTGCCCCCAAATGACTCCTATGAGACAGAGGTCAGGCATGCCTCCAACTTCCAACTTCCCTGTTCTGACACCAACCATCCCTTCCTCAGCAGCGCTCTCCTTCTCTGCTGGGTCAGTCCTTTGGTGTCACACGGAAACTCACAGACAACACTCACAGGATGGGAGCTTGTTAGGTAAGTCAAGGTTGCCATAGGTCAGGATCAGACACCAGGAAGGATACAGTTCTTCTGTTCTCATCACAGCCTTTTCTCAAGCCATGCTGGCCAACACGTCCCTGGGCGTCAGCCTTCACCCCTTAGTCTCTGCAGGCCTTGTTCTGCAGGCCAGGAATCCCACTGCTCTGCCTTGCTGTCTTCGTGCTGCTCCTCGGCTCTGCCCCCTGGAGCCACGGAGCCTGGATGTGCCCCTCGAAACTCTTGCTCTAAGATGATTCAGGCCCCCCTTTATGAGCCTCTGGTGTAGTGCAGAGATCCTGTCTGGTCCCCTCTTCCATCAGCCCTGGGGATGTGGCAGGAGGGGTGGAACTCCTATTGGGTGCACCTATTAGTTGCTCCTTGGTTTGCCAGGTGTGTGTGTGTGGTGGGGGAAGGTGGGGGAGTAGGAGTGGGGCAGAGAGACTACCTTTCTTGATCCAGTGTGCTGGACACTACCTTGCTGTGGACAGAGCTGGTTGGTTGGTAACTGTCCAGCCGTGTGACCTCTGGGTGGGTTTGGCGCTATATTTTCTCGATCAGTGTTTAGCTCACAGTTACATCTTCCCCTCGCACAAGCAGTTCTAGGTTTTGACTTTGAACATGCTCTTTCACACCTTTCTGGGCAAGGGTTTGTGTCTGTATCTGTCTGGGCCACCATCTTGCCAGAAGTCCGAGAGCAGCATTTATGGACACGATGATTCAATGATGCAGCCTATCTTTGGGGAAAGGCATGTCTCAAACCCAGGAGATGTATGGGAGATAAAATCGTTTCTGGATCCCCCACCCCCGCCCCTAAGAAAGCCTGAGTAGAGCATCCGAGGTCACCAATGGCTCATAAAATACGCCTGTGTGATCACGAGTTGTCGAAGGGATCAGTATCAGGCATCGAGGAACAAAAAAATCATATCATTGTGAATGAGGGGGAGTGCAGA